GTTCAGAGATAATGGGTGAAAATTTAATTGAAAAAGGGATTCTGCAAAGGTGCATAAGATAGTATTGTTATATTAGAAATAGAAATAATTTTAGAAAATATGAGGACTAAAATGATGGATAAAATATTTATTGTAATATAGTGGAATGTTTGTTAATAAATAAATGAAAGAAAGTGAATGAGAGAATGAGATTAGGAAAAGATGGGAACATTTTAATTATTAATGATTTAAAAAAATATAAGCGAAGAGAAATATGGAAAAAAAGAATTAATTATGGAAAGTTTATAAGTGTTCACAAGGAAGTATGATATTCAATTGAAAAGAAAAAAGTTGTTAAGATTTTAATGAATATTAACGGTAGAATTGAATTGGAATAGAATGAGTGTTTTATTTACAAATATATATATATTTTTTTAAGGATATAGTGTGTATTTTAAGAATGTACCAAGCAGAATTCAATTGGAAGTTATGTATTATACTGAATGTTATAATCTTAAAGGTATAAATTGAAGTTTAAATAAGAATTGAATGGACAAAATCAAAAGATATAAAGGTGTCATACTCCAATTAGTAACTACAGGGGAAAATTTGTTTAATGCAAAAAGATAATATGAAATTGAAACAGGACAGACAAAAGTACAAATATAATGATTTGAATTGAGATATGAGATAATTAAAAATAAAGTTGAGAAAATCAAAGGAGTGGAAAAACTATGTAGAAAAGGTAAAACAGTAATAAGACATGGAATAGAACACAAAGATAAACATGAAATTGAGTTTGTGTCTGTATGAAGAAGTGATAACCCGTTATCATGCTACTCTCAAAAAAAGATGTTTTATTTGTATTATGTTTTTTTTGTGTGTGAAAACCCAAATAAAATTTATATTAAAAATATATATCTTTGGACAGCACTAGCCCAATGGCCTTGAAATGGAGATGAGCACCACCTCCTATATTCGGCAGTGACTAGCGGAGTAAAATCTTTATCTTTACCTTACCTAGTTACATCTGCATCCTATCAAATCATTCTGCCCCTTTTAATCTTAGTTTTTCTTATTCATTTGTAATTACATTGTTGTAACTAAAGAGCCAGTTTGGTGTAGTGGTGAAAGTGCTGACCTAAAAAAAAAAAAACCCAGGAGACTGTGAGTTATATTCCTACCTTCGAAATGAAAAGCTGATCACTATTTCTTAGCCTAACCCATGTCACAGAATTATTGTAGGGAAAATGGAAGGAGAAAGGAGTACAATATTAGGTGTGCTGGATGCCTTGAGTTATTTATAAAAATAATAAAGGTGAGATAAAAATCAAATAAATAAAATAAACTTTCATGTATGAATAGTCTTGTGCTTAAACGACATAATTGAAATAAATATCCTGTATTTTTCTAAGCAGATACTTTTCCTCCTTTTCCTACCCATTATTGCGTCTTTGAATGGCCTAATAACTTATTCTGTCCCTTCTCATGTCATTTTCACCCAGTCCATCATGTCATTGAACAGAATAATTTTTCAGAATGTTGTCAAAACCTTATAACTTTTATTATCTTTTATTATCACCGTTATCAGGAACATAAAAAGCATCTTTCACCAACATAAAAAGCATCTTTCACCAACTAATGAATCCTACTTTCAGATGTTTGAACAACAACCTGACACCAGATTGTATTTCCTGATATTTAACCCTTTCATTGATTAATAAACCTACACGTTCACTTCTCTGTGGTTGTTCATCAATTATATTCCAAAAGATCAGACTACCTTCATTCATTCTATTCAGAGGTGGTATTCAGCAGGTTCTGACCAGTTCTGGAGAACCGGTGGCGGAAATTATGAGAAGTTCGGAATACCATCTCTGACTGGTCCTGCCCCCATCTATTCTCTGCCTCCTGAGTTCCAGCTGATCGGCTGGGTCTTCTTTTGTTGCCCTGCATGGGAGAACGGAGCTGGAAATCAGGTTAGTGGGGTGGGGAGGGAATGGGATTTTGAAGTAACCTTCCCCTGCCACACCTCACCACATCATGCCCACCAGGCCACGCCCACAGAACTGATAGTAAAAAAATTTGAATCCCACCACTGATTCTATTGTATTGTATTTGTAATAGATTGTATCTATTTTGTCCTTTTTTCTCTTAGTTTCAAAAACATATATCTTTTTCCTTTCTTTTCATTAATTAACAGGCACTGTCACAAAGAGGTTTGGGGAAGGGGAAATGAAAAGGAAAAGGAAAAAAATTTGCACCAGTCTGAGAGGAATACATGGGGGGGGGGGGTAGAGAGGGGGGGAGGGGGGGGGGGGGGGAAGGGGAGAGAGGTGGGGAGAGGGAGAGGGAGAGGGAGTCCTAGAATATAAGTGCAGTGCTAGAATAGCTAAGATACTGCTTAGATTCCCAGGTTACTGATAAATGACCCAAGATGGAGGAAGACACACAGCACCCATAAGAGTGAGAAGGGATTTTTTTCCCCCTATATGCATGTATATGTTTTGGGGAACGTTTCTGGGATGGTATTTGTGTTTTATACATAAATCTTGGGGAGGTAAATTGCTAGTTGTCATGTGCGAGTTCTGCCTATGGAGTATGAAGATGGGAAAGCTGCCTGTTTGGAGCTGAAGGGGGTCTGGTGTGAACTTCTAGAATGGTGTTGCTTGTTTGCGCGTAGGTGAGAGGGTTGAAGAAGAAATGTGTGAGCATAGACGGGCTTCGGCATGTTTCTTTTGGCTGCTTTTGTTTTGCGTTGGGGGTGGCATATTGTGTACAATGTCTGTTTGTTGTCTTTTATTTTGATGCCATTCTGTAAGTCAGTTGTATCGTTTTTATTTTAATGATATTAAATTTAGCAGTTAAGGAGATGGAGAGACTGTGACATATGGTAGAAAGTACTTGATATAATTTGGCTTTTCTGTGTCTGCAATTGTTAATTAACAAGCAAAACAAAACAAGAAATCAATTTCTTGGACTTCAGGTGGCATGCCCTGGATAGTGCTGCAGGTTGGTCTTTGAGAGAAGTGTTGATAGTTGATCTTCTTGGTATCCAGAAAGGCAGACACTGATCAATAGCAATTAAGGTTGTTGTTTTGATTGTTTTTAAATGTGAGGTTTCAAAGCTAAACTATGTATTACTATGTGGCTCATCCTTTAAAACCAGTATTTGGAACATATTATCTTTGGAGTGGAAACAAGCTCCCTTCTTACAATTTAGGGGGCAACTTTTTATGTATTATGTTGTTTATATAAATCCTTGTCTTTGTAAGGCACCCACACTTCTTATAGCAACAAAGCAAAAAAATAAGCAAACAAATAAGAGGCTTTTTTTTTCTTTTTCTAACTTTACTTTCATTGATTCATAGTTCTGTGTTAGTTTTTGTTTTCTTTCCATGGTGCCTTTTCTTGGTTTTGTCTCTTTTTCAATCTTTTTCAGCAGACACAAGTGCAGAGGAAAGCATTAGGCAAATTTATTGCAGATTTATTTCTACTACTGTCCAATTACCTTGTTGGCTAGGTTAAGGAAAGGAGGGGAGAGGAGATGAAATGAGGAGAGGGGAGGGGAAGGGAAGGGAAGGGAGGGGAGGAGAGGAGAGGAATCCCTGCATATTTTACTGTATTTGTTGCTGACTATAGGGAGTGGCAATCATCTCTGTTTCAAGGCCAACGCTGTCCAAAGGTGTTTTCGTGGTCATGTGGCCAACATAACATCACGGAGTGCTGTTTTCTCCCCTCAAAGTGTTATATTTATCTACTCACATTTGCAAGCTTTTGTACTGCTACATAGACAGGAACTAGGCAAAGATGGGCACTCACCCCCATTGCATGTTGCTCAGGTCTCAAACCTGGCTGATGACAAGCTCAACGTCCTAACTGGTGAGCCATCACACCACCCAAAGTTAATGAGAAGAGTTTAAAATACCTGGAAGCTATATACTTACCTCCGCTAAGTTATAAAACATACTTTTATTTTTGACCGATATATCAGCTGAAAATATATGTCTATGTCTTTATTACCTAGACCTATGTCTAAATAACCAAAGCTAATGAAAGTGGAGTGTGATATACTTGTATGGTCCATTTGGGCTGAAGCTATCATAGCCCAAATAAGATAATTTCCATCATCCTTAAATGGATTGAGATCAGTACCTTCTAGATCTCATTTGGGGGCTAAGAAACCTTTTTATCCCAGCTTGACTGCTAGTATCCTTCAGGAATAGATGATGATGATGATGATGATGATGATGATGATCATCATCATCATCATCATCATCATCATCATCATCATCTTAACATTGAAAGGGAAAATTCAGAAACCTTTCTTCCATCAGAATGCACATATTGTAAACTCATTTCAGTTAAATTAAACAACCCCCAAAATCTTTTCAACCAATGATTTATGTGTTGCTCCTTTCCTACAATGCCCTTAAGTTCTTCAACTCCAGATTTCATTTTAGCTCTGATTCTTCTAACTGTTTGAGTATGTTTGTGGAAACACATATCTGTGTCTGTATAGGTACATACCTCAACACGTACAGTTCTTACTTAAATGTCCAAGCTGATGGTTAGCAATATATTTGCACAGACAATTTCTGTGCATTGTGTTTTCAGAAGAGGAGGAGAAATACTAATCATGAGAATTATCAATAGTTTAAGTAAATGAACATGAGTGAAACCATCTGAATCTTATTAATGATGATATTATCTAAGGGTTGCTCTGAATACGAAACATCCTTCCTGGAAAGTGGATTGATCACATCTATAGCTATCCACTAATTTCTTCGGAGAATTAGATTTAAAAGCATTATTTGAGCCAAGAAATATCATGCATTCATTCCTCTTGTGCTGGGTTTTCCGGGGACTGTCCTTAGTTTTGTTCCCAAATCATTTGCAGGGTATGTCTAAAATAACCATTTCAATCAAACCCTTTCTGAATTACAGATCTGTGTGATTATCCACCATTCAAAAGCTCCATTCAGAATGTTTTCTTTCCTTATTCTTTTTTTTCCCTACAGCTCCTAGATTGTTTTGTGATTCCAGTTGTGATCTTACTTTCTTGGTTCTTCCTCCTGGTGCGATACAAAGCAGTGCACTTCATCGGGATTGTAGTGTGCATTCTGGGCATGGGCTGCATGGCAGGAACAGATGTTCTTGTTGGAAGACAGCAAGGAGCAGGTACGTTTTTGCAGATTAGAAGGAAATGTTGTGGGTTTTTGTTGTTGTTTCTAAGTTCCCTGGAAATGTCTGCATGTGGAAACATGACAGCCTGAGAAAATAATAGATTTCCTAATGATGTCAGAAGTAAACCTCAGGATCTTGCTGAACTATTTTTAGCAGTATCTCTCACTACTGTGCTGGCTAAGACCGCTGTGGGAATCTTGTGATACCTGGAGTTCCAAACAGTCTGTGGAAGACCATAGAATCTTTCCCCCATTTTTTGTGAGCCACAGTTCACTTTATAATATGTGTGGAATGATCTCCTGAGGCAGCATGGCTCTATGATACAACGTGGATTGAATAACTTTGCCTGCAGGGAGGAGGACTCAGTCATGGCAGACAGAACTTTTTGGTATAAAACTCACAACATGTGTTTCTGAATGAATGAAGTAGAACTTCTATTAGCAAATTGTGATTTTTTTTAACAATCTTTTTTGCTTCTAGGAGAAAATAAACTTATAGGTGATCTTCTAGTACTAGGTGGGGCCACTCTGTATGGCATCTCCAATGTCTGTGAGGAGTACATTGTACGAAATCTGAGTAGAGTGGAGTTCCTAGGGATGATTGGACTCTTTGGTTCCTTCTTCAGTGGAATTCAGCTGTAAGTAAAGAGAAGCATCTACTCCATCCTGCCATGTCAAATAGAGAAAAATCCACAGCCATCTTCTCTCACATTCCATTTGTTCCTGTGTTGTCCTGTAGATTGCTCAACATGAATGCTCAGATCATCTGGTCCTCTCACTCTACCTTGCTTTTTTATTCTGCTATTCAAAAATAAAAATATCTGTTTGCTAATAGAAAAGTTTTTATTTTAACTTTGTATCAGTCAAGGAATTACTGGATGGGTCACATTTAAAAAAAAGATGGTCAAATTGGTTTTCTTTCATTTTTATTCTCCTAAAAGGTACACAACAGCAAACATGACCAGTAGAGATTTAAACCTAATGCTTTTCAATCATAATTCAGCATCTAATCACTATATTACATTAGCTCTCAATAGATACAATGATGTTCAGGTGTCTTTAAAAAAAACAAAAGGAAAAAAGCAATTTTTTGAGGAAAAGGACAGACTAGACTCTTGGATCTGTTACATACTATATATATGCAAAAAAAAAAAAAAAAAGCCCACAGAATGCATTGACTCACTTAATGTCTGTAGCACTTCCTTAACAACTATATTTACTTAACCTCGTCTTTTCCTGCCTAATCAATATAAGAGAAATTAACTTTTTCAGTAATACTGAAGATTTCAGTCCTTTTATTTTAATTTTGTTTAATAACTTTTTTGGTACTTTCATTCCAACATCAAGACAAAGTTATGATCTATTTCTCACCAGTAACATTAATATAATGCTTCATTCTGTGAGACATGTATCCATTTCTTTCCATTCTCCCCACAGCTGTAGGATAACTATATTAATGCCATCAGAAAAACTGATAGAAGATAATACAGAAATAGACACTTAACTTGGGCATTCATGTAATGTTGCATAGGCTTGCTAGTATTATTACATTTGCTAATACACTATGGTAAATAGACATTGTTTTGATGTAGTATCTGGAATTTTTCTGTGAGGAAAAAGGTTCCTTCTACATTATTGTGCTCATTCACAGAAGAGGCTACTCCTGCCCTTACATAGCTCTGAACTGTGTTTTAGTAACTCTCATTACTCTGCTAATTACATTTCAAATACAGAGAAAAAGTGAGAGCTGTTTGTATAAATCTGGTAGTAACTAACATAAGTATGAGAGTTCTTCTATGTCAACAATATACATATTTACGTCACTTTATGGAAATAATTGGAAATACTTAGAATTTTCCCTATCAAAACATTTCTTTTTTTTCCCTCCCAGTGCCATAATGGAACACAAAGAATTGTTAAAAGTTCCCTGGGACTGGCAAATAGGTAAGACTGGAAGTTGCTTTACTATTGCTTATTGTTCAGAAAATAAATTGCGTTTGAGATTATAGCATTACTTAAATGACTGTAGTGGTAACATCTTGGTTTAGCTCCATACAGGCCTGAGAACAACATATAGGAAGCTTATCTTCTTTGCTGCCTATAACGAATTGAGCTTAAGTTGAAAAGTTGGTAAATGCTAGTTGGGCTCATCAAACATGCTGACATTGGGTTTTCAAATCATAGTTTATAGTTTAATGACATGTGGCAACTACATCACTGACCGTTTTTTGTTTTTGTTTTTTGCTTTGAGCTGGTCAAAAGGCAACTAGTTACATTTGTATTCCCATCAGTGAACAATACTGAAATATTTTTGGATCTGCAAATTACTGTGGTAGGCATTAATGGCTTTGTGTGGTACATAAGCTAGCCATGGTTGATTATCAGCCATAGTTTATAATTCAATTTGATTGGTTTGCTTAATAAATGAGGATTAGTAGTCTACTCCCATTAATTTGCTCTGTTTGTGATGATTAAATTAAAAGCAAAGCAAACCGAAATTGAGAGAATGTGGGTTTTTTCACATTCCTTAGTGCGATGGGCAAGGGAAACTTTCATTTACTTTCTAAGAATTGGCTAGATGTAGTCTGATGGCCAGTTCTTTTCTTTTCTCTTTCTTGATTAAAAAACAAGTCAGGTGGATGTGTTTTTAACTTAAAGCAAAACAACAACAACCTTAAAATGAAGAGAAGACAGAACAATTCCCTACTTGGCTACATCCTAGAAAATAAAAGGACCTCCTTTTCTCTCATCCACTAACCTCTTGAGGTTCTTTAAAAAAAATTACAGCTTGTACAAGAATTGGAAAAATGTGTGGGAGGAGTCTGTGGGTGGTGGTGTCTATGACAATTTGCCTGATCAACTTGCTGTAGAACAACTTGCCACAGCCAATTCATTGCAGGACAAGAGTTACATTAATAAAGAAATAGTGGAATAGAATCATTGAAGAAAGGATGCAAAAGGAGGGGCAGAATGAAATGTGAATGCAAAAATTAAAATATTTTAATGTATTTTAAATAATTAAATAGAATTGTTAAATTGTCCTGCAGTAAGGTATCCCATGATGAGTTGATCCTGGCGGGTTGTCCTGTGGTGAGTTGGCTATGGTGAGTTGGCCATGAATTGATTATACCAAGCTGCCCCATTCTGGTACTAGGGAGTGCAATCTTTGTACCAATTTTTTTTTCAGCCAAAGAAACTATTATCTGTATACCTTATTACTATACTAAGCAAATGGTTTTGTCTAGAAGGCTCATTACTTAAGTACTACAATAAAGATGGCATTTGATACCCTCTGCATTAGAATGCTACAAATGCCAGTTAATGTAAAAAGGCACGTTGAGCCCAACTGCAATTATAACAAGGAGTAAGGAGGTAATATGCTTAATGGGCCTCAACAGCTCCTGGTTAGCTTCCTTTCCAAATGAATATCAACAGCAGCAGACTGAAGAGCTTCTTAAGCTGACTGGTTACAGAGACAATAGCTGAGGATTGCAGTTATAAATGACACACTCGACACTTGCTCCCATTGGGCCTTCCCTCATCATTTCCTCTAATTATCCCCAAACCTTAATGAAGCTGTGCACATCTGCTATTGCCTCAGTTGCAAAGATCTTCCTGCTTTTTTTCAATATGGCTCCTAAATTGAACACGGATCAATGTAAAGCATGACTGGTCTTTTTTATCACACAGTTGAGATTTTTACAAGGCTTCTGGGCCTCGTTTCCCTTTTAGGAAGAAATGAGAAAAATATGTTTGGTTGTGTGAACTAACTAATCACCAGCAGCAAGGAGGCAAAGACCCTCCTGCTTCACCAGTCTAAACAGGTAGCCTCTGAAGCACATTTTTGCTATCATTCAATTAGTAAAAGCAGATGTTTTGTTAGAGCAGAGAGCACTTGATTCTGGATTCCATTTGTGCATTACATTAAATCAGTGAGATGCAAGAGTAGACAGAGTTAGGATAATAAGTAAAGTCAAGTTTATTTTACTTACATGTATCACAAAGGTATCCATGACTGGCTGGGAGAATTTTAGGTGTTGAAATCCACAAGTCTTAAAGTTGCTAAGATTGGACATCCCTGATAGCTTGGATATATCATTCCAATGAAATACAATTAATATTATTAATATTATTCTTTCCCCCTTCTATTACATTAAACATGATAATTTGGTAACAGTTTTTGGAGGCTTCCCAGGGACCATGCTCAAGGTTTCTTTGGGGCTACCTATGTACAGCTTTGAGACATAGTGTAGCATGATCTGCAGAAGCATGTTTGAGTAAGGTCCTCTTCCTTTCTCTAATTTTACTACCCAGCTGAGAAGAGTACTTTGAAAACTTGTGTTTCTACTTTCAGTTACTCCCAGTTCATCATGTTATATCTGTGATGCAGAATTATTACTATGAACTGTATATCATTTCAGTATGCCAGTTTCTGGTGTGCTTGCTGAAAACTTACATAATGTTAATAGCAGGTGATAGGCTAGTCCCTTCCTTGCTAATTTTCAAAATGTTACAAAAGAAACTGTCAAGTGGCCAGGAAATTAAGAGATTCAGGCAGTTCAAATGGGAATAAAGATTTATTGAAAACTTAAGCTCTCTATAAGAATCTGGCCAACTGACTGTAAAGGGAAATGCACAGGAGATAAGAGAGGCATTCAAGGAGGGCTGGACTTAGATCTCTTGTGGGCACTCAAGACCTATGGTGCATTTGACCTTTCTCTCAAGCTCAGCCTGGTCATCTATCTCCTCCATAAACTAATGTTTTGAAGAGTTTTTTTTTTTTTAACTAAGTATGCATAGTGTGCCTTCTTTTATTTCTTTTCATTTACTTCCTGGTATTTTATTCTGATTATGTCTTTTGGTTACATCATGTCTTTTGATTATTTTTTTCATTAGTGTTTTTAATCATTCAATGGATGAAGCTACCAAAGAAATATTGGATTACAGTGGGATAGAAATACAATTTAAAAATGGAGCAAAAAAAATATTGGGAGTTTAAGTATAGAAATCCAGGGAAGTAATGATGATGATGACAGACAATATTATATTATGACATCATTATGCAAATGACATGAATGGCATGACACACATGAAGTCATTCACCTTTTTTGTCTTCCTTGCAGATATCCATAAGCCAAGATTTGCTTTGTGTGTTTTTGTGAATATATGCATTACACTCAGTCATGGTTTGGCATAATGTCTTAGCCTAGCTTATGATTATCAAAACAAAGTAATGGTGATTTTTTTTTGTATGCTACAAATCAGGCAACAGAACAATTCTGGCCTGTAAGGGCTCTGCAGACCTTGCCAAAGCTCTAGACTCAGAATGCCACAAAAAATAATCTTCTCTACTCAGCTTTGCTAGCCTCTTACCTATTTCCATCACAAAATATGCATCCTCGTCTTTGCAAAAGCTTAACAGCTTTTTTTGAAGCTAAGAAGAAAATGTTGTGAGACAGAGAAGTTTAATTGTTCTCTCCCAAAAATCTCCACACCACATTCCCCAATGTACATTAAGTGCTGAATATGTACTGTGTACTAGAAGACTGATGACTGCATTTCAATAGTATTCATCAGTTCCACCAGTAGCTTGATCTTTAAACCAAAAGAAAAGTAGCTCTTGAGGAAAAAAAGAATCCTAACCCTGTTGTAAATAGACTTTCATGTGTCCAAGGTACTGAAAGTAATTACATTGCCTTAGTAAATTTATGGTATGCTTGTTCTGAGAAGTCTTTAGGAAAAAATGATATGCGATTGTGACATAAATCACACAGGGAAAGAAACAGTATCATTTGGAATTTGCCTAGTTATACAGATAGGACAAGTTCAGTTTAGTAGTCAAGGCCCCAGGCTATAAACCAGGAGACTAGGAGTTTTTAGTCCTGCCTTAGGCACCAAAGCCAGCTGGGTAACTTTGTGCCAGTCACTGTCTCTTGGCCCAGCCCATCTCACAGGATTGTTGCTGTGGGGAAAATAGGAGGAGAAAGGAGTATTAGTTTGCCATCTTGAGTTATTCGTTAAACAATAAAGTCTGGATAGAAATAAATAAAAGAGAGATGTTAGTCTCTTTTTTGTTGTTAATTTTTGTGGATAGCTTTTGAATTTCTGTTATTAGTACTAAATTCGGGGATATTGTTATTTTTGGTGAATGTAGTACATATGATCATTTTGCTATTATTATCATTCTTGTAGTAACATTGTACAAATACAGAATATCGAAGTCAGGGAGGGTGAGGGTAGAGTGTTATAACTGTACATAATGACTGTGAAAACTGGAAGATTAAGTTATCAAACAAGGGCCAAGAATGACGTTCTTGTAATGTTTCAAGTCAGCCATACTTTAGGTAGCCAAATACTCTGCCTTGTCAGAAAAGTCAGGATGGGAATGTGTGCCATGAGGTTGAAACCTCATGCCAGGCCACTCTCTCACCATTTTTATTCCATTCCCTGCAAGTACATACACAAAGGTAAGATTTATTTTTTCCTGGATTATGTCTCGGCTGACTCTGCTACCTCAGATCACAAATAGATTAGATTAAGGCCATCTTCCCTCTCTCCTGGCACACCTTGGGCAGTTAGAATTCTTCCAAAGTTTGTTTCTCCTCAGCAGAAAAGTTATTCCTAGAAAAGGGTGGACAAGACAGTACTGACTACTTATCATTTATCTCCCTCCCTCCCTCCCTCCCTTTCTTCCTTCCTTCCTTCCTATAGGATTACTGTATGTTGGCTTTAGTGCCTGCATGTTTGGCCTCTATAGCTTCATGCCTGTGGTGATTAAGAAAACGAGCGCTACAGCGGTCAACCTCTCCCTTCTTACAGCAGATTTATACAGCCTTTTCTGTGGATTCTTCCTCTTCTATTACAAGGTAAGTGGATCAACCTGGTTACAGGTAATCCTCAACTTACTGAGGACCAGAATTTCTGTTGCTGGACAAGGCGGTTGTTAAGTGAATTGTGCTCAATTTTATATTCTTTTTTTGTCACAGTTAAGTGAATCACTGCAGTTGTTAAATGACTGGTTGTTAGTTGAATCTGGCTTCCCCTATTTACTTTTTTCATTGGAAGACAGGTGGGAAGCTGACCAATGGTGATCATACAACCCCAGGTCACTGCAACCATTGTAAATACATTGGAGTGCCAAGCATTGGAATTTTGATCACATAACCATGGAGATATTGAGGCGGTTTTAAGTGAAAGGTTCGGTCACAAGTTACTTTAATGGCAAGTGGTCACTAAATGAAGAGTTGTAAGTTGAGGATTACCTGTATATGATAACATTGTCTTGATAACATTGACATTACACTAATGGTGATGGCATCTAAGAGCTGTGGTGGTGCAGGGGTTAGAGTGCATATTGTAGGCTAATTCTGCCAATGGCTGGGGGTTCGATCCTCACTGGCTCAGGGTTGACTCAGCCTTCCATCCTTCTGTGGTCAGTAAAATGATGACCCAGATTGTTGGGGGCAATATGCTCTAAAGCAGGGGTCCCCAACCGCCGGTCCGCGGACCGGTACCGGGCCGCGGAACAAGCCTTACCGGGCCGCTGGTTGCTGGGCGCTGCCATCTTTTTTTGGTAAAAAAGTGCTTCCGGTGAGCTTTTCCGGGTAGAAAGCCATTTCTACCCGAAAAAGCTCACCAGAAGCGCTGGCGCCGCCATTTTTTTTGACGAAAAATCACTTCCGGTGACATCACCGGAAGTGATTTTTCGTCAAAAAAAGATGGCGGCGCCCAGCTGACGCCGGAACCGGGCCGCGGCGCCCAGCTGACGCCGGAACCGGGCCGCGGCGTCGAAAAGGTTGGGGATCCCTGCTCTAAAGCACTATGAAGCGGTGTGTAAGTGCTACTGCTACTTCTATCTTCAAAGTTCATACTGTTTTCAGTCCAACTTGTTTGTTCTGAATGGTTCTGATGCAAACACTGTACAGCATTACTTCTCTGATTGTTGAATATATCAGAAAAGCAACTTCTCTGATTTGTGTATTAGTCATCAGTCATTACCAGAAGGAAGATTCAACCCAGGGTTAAGCAGAGTTGCATCAGGATGGTTGTTTGTGGCAACTGAAGAGTGGATGGATTGTGGCTTATCTTGCTATATAAACTCTTCAAGCAAAGAGTTCTGGAAATATGGGGAATTATCTTGATTCTGATTAATATAAGATCAAATATAATCCCAAAATATTTATTAAATTTTCATGCCACCCATCTCACAGTGAGATGGTTGGTTTACGATATAATGAAAAGGTAAAACGGATAACGCAAAGCAATTAAAATTAAGAGGATTAAACAGGAAGCTTAAAACCAAGAGGATGCACTGATCAACATAAGCCACAAGTTTTTTTAAAATTCAATGTTTAAATATCCTATTTGTTCAGATCTTATGTGTTGCTAAGGAAAATAGCCTTTATTAAGCAACATCTGCTGCATAAGGGCATTCTGAGATTTCCCCAGCTGGACAAAACAGAGTTCCAGTTTTGAATTGTATAACCCGGATGCTGTGGGTTGCAAGTAATTTAATGTGATATTTTTCAACTTGTAACTAGCAGGTGCCTTCAGTTTCCTGTGGTGTTGTAATCCCTGTTCTTGTACAAGGGCTGAAAGTATCCCTGATCACCATAGGCCTAAAGCATTAATATAAAATTGCTTTTGTTAATTATCATTGCTGAGGATGATTTTACTCTGCATGTTTTTCACTTGCTTGGTTTCAGCCCAGCTGCTCTTCTCCTCGGCTACATCACCCCTTTTATTTTGTAATATCTGACCAATGGACAAAAGCCTTTCTTCATGGGGGAGCAGAAGACTTTATGATTAATAAGAACCATCCCAGCTCTTTAAAATCTCTTCCAAAATTCACTGTCATAATACTTTCAAGGAGCTGCTGGGCTTCGCTGTCTCTTTCCTCAGACCTAAAAGAAAATATAAATCAAACAAAATGCAAGGAACTAGCTTTATTTTGCCTTGGAAAGTAATTGGAAAAGCATTTTAGGTGTTCAAAGGGGTTGAATCATCTTAACTTGCCTTTAGAGCTGAACTTTTCAAGATTTATAATCTGCCCTGCATTCATTAGTGCCCTAAGCTATGTTGTTGCAAAGAAGATGAATGCAAAGGAAGTGAGAAATATGGCGTTATGACTCATGAATAATTGAGCAGATTATTTATATTGAGGGGAATTGCATTCATATTTTTATTAAATTATAATGACTTGGGAGTTATGCTTTAAGAAAGTAAATTCCATCTTAAAAAAACCTCAGAGTTAATTTGGTTTATAAAATTACATCTAACAGTAATTCTGTGTAATGAGTAATTGATCTTGCTAGACACCTACAGTGGCCAAACGTACTCTTATTATCAATCTTTTCTCACATAGCAAAACCACAACATATAATGTCCTCTAGCAAATTATTGCTGGTTTTTGTTCACCCTACCATCAGAAATTTTCTTACCAAAGCAGGATTCAAAATTCATCAGAAGTAGTTGTATTAAACTGATGTAGAAGTTCTAAAGAGTCATTCTTTATCATTCTTCAGGGAAAACCTGAAAAAAATGGCAATCTGAATTGAAAGAGATAGGATATGTTGTATTTAGCTTGCCCTTTCATTGTTTTTCAGGACCATAGAGAACAGGGGTGTGAACTATGACCCTTTTATGATCTGTGAACTTCAACTCCCACAATTCCTGAACCAGAATTCCTGAACTGGCTCAGGAATTCTGGGAGATGAAGTTCACAGATCATAAAAGGATCATAGTTCCACACCGCTAATATAGATGATACTACTATAATGAACTTCCTTGTAGTGATCAATTACCAAATCTTGATGGCCACTAGATGGCAACAAAGAAATAGGGAGCACACTCACTCTTTTGTCATTGTCCAGATTTTTGCAACCCAGATCTGGTAGACATACATACTTCCTTCCATTTCTCCCATGGCTTTACACTTCTCATTCCACACCTACTATTGCAATTTGGTTTCATGATGTCTACCTTTCATAGTCAATTCAAATGGTTATTACACAGAACTTTCAGCTCAGGCAAAAGTCAGTTAGCATGCCTTCCAGTTTGGTCATTCTTCCCTTCTTTCAATGAGGTAAGAAGAAGGAATTGTAATATAAAGGCAGGTAGAATGCCTAGTGAGATCCTGTCAGGTAGCCAGGGCACAATGCTGGTAGCGGCAATGTAGGTTGAAATTTGAAGGAATCCAGAATTTAAAATCTTTTACAGATTCTTTTTTAGAGATAGAGTTGGAAGGGACCTTGTTAGGTCATCCATACCCCCCGCCTAAGCAGGAGACCCTACAAAGCCAGACTGGAATTGTAGCTATAAGAGACAAGATCCAGGGACGGAAGTAGGCAGCCAATGACACACAGATCCAGGAAGGTGGAGGAAAGCATTGTGGAAAAGAAGGATGGTTTAGGTCAGGCTAGAGTTCCACGAGTTGGGCCATGTCATAAAGCAGCGGTGTCAAACTCGTGGCCTGCAGGCCAGATGCATCACGCGCTGGCCATGCCCACACCCAGTTTAGTGAAGGGGAAAAAAGTTGTGATATGTCACGTGATGATGCCGTGACAACATGAGTTTGACACTCCTGTCATAAAGGTTCAACATTGGAGGGTTGTTTCCAAAGATGAGCAAGGCTCTAGCAGCTGTTCCTAAGTAGTCCCAGCTGCGAGTACAGTTCAGTCAGGGGCCTTCCCTTGCATTCTGTGTAATGAAGCAGCTCGTCTTTGCTCTGCCCTTCAAAATTGTTGGTACATCCTGGGCCTCAGTGCTGTGCCAGAATCTAAAACTCCTTATTCCTGCTAATGGTCTCCCTTGTTTGTTTGTTTGTTTGATTGATTCCCTGCTAGTTCTTCACATGATAGGATCAGGCCCTTCAGCTTGAAGAATCAGCATAGACCATAACAGTAGGAATTGCAAGATACTATTCAAAGTAGTAGAGAAATTGCATCATGTACTGTATGTAATTTGGTGTTCATTCTCATGAAGCCAGTGCTATTAGGAGTTGTACCATATTACATATGAGGAGAATGCCATGAGCAGGTAAAAAGAACCAGTTATAATATACAGTAAAACATCTGAAGTAGGTTGGGTTTATTGCCAAAATTACTTGGAAGTCATCCATGAGAGGATCAGGATCAGGACACATTAACTTATTTTCTAGGTCTTTCTGTCCTCACAACTTCAAAATATTTTCAAGGTAACATTTACCCCATAGTTCTGAGTCGTATCCACCACACTGTCAATTGTATCTGTCAAGCAAAGCTTCATACAAACACGTTTAAGTACAAATGCAAAAAACTTTGGAATGCTTCTAATCAACTCAAAGAATCAATCAAACTTCCAAGGATCCAGTTTAGTACTGAAGAAAATAATTTTCAAGACAAGGAAATTTGATGGATTTTTCAGCAGTCCTTTTTTAAAAAAATTCTTTTTGCTTTGTGAATCAGCAGCTAAAGCTATTATACAACATCATTTTAAAGACAGTGTAGTAATCTAAAACGCTCCAAATGTTGGTGGGTAAAATATCAATGTATTTCAATTTGCTATTCATAAATCATGAATCTGCCAAATGTAAAATAATTTATAATTGCCATCCTTTAATCAAAGCTGCAGTACACTGAATAAATAGGCTGCAATGGAATGCAAGAAAGTAACAAAGTATTCGGCTCAAGCATTTCACTTTTCATTTCTAATTGTTAATGCTTGAGAAATTTCAAAAATATTAATTTTCTAGAAAAATCACAAGGAAGGGTGAGTGTTGCTTAGCTTGTCTCTTAAAACACCCATCTACTCTCCTAATGGACTGAAGCTGTGTATGCTTGAATTCCAAACCCATTCACTTAAAAGCAATCATTCATCTATATACATA